GGTGTCGGAAACTTTGAGAGTCGCTGGCAAAATTAGTACATATTTCATTACTTCTGCTACTCAACATCCACACATTTCCTCGTTTCATCTCTGTACTCTAGTGGATATTCATCCTGAATGCGAAGCGATCCTACATCATTCATGCTCATTCATTCTTTTTGAGGTTTCACGGGAGGAAATTTTATCATTTTATTCTGTTACCACTTGTAAACTGAAAACCTTAATCAATTACCTGATGAAGGTAATTCCTGCATTACCGCTTAGTAACGGAACATTAATCAATCGCTTGACCAAAGTAATCGTGTTTTTCCCATACATAATTGTTTTCTTTTTGCTGGAGAAGAGTGAGTGTGGTTGTCACTGCATCCGTCCAGTTCCGAGACCAGGGCTACGGCTAGGCGGATTATGTCTCATGACCGAGCGCCTGGGCACTGCTCCGGCTTCCGCTCCCTCTGCTGCATGAGTCGCGGCTCTCTATTTCTTGCTGACATCGCGTCATAAAATCTGCAAACTTAGTAAAGAAAGGAGTAATAAAATCTAGTATACGAGTTAAAAAATATAACTCGGCACTCACCGCAGTGAGTGACAGAGAGCTCATTTTTTCGTCGACGGGTCACGGACGGACAGACGGACAGACGGACGGACATGATGAGCACAATAGCGCCTTTTTTCCATAAATGAGAAAATGCGCTAAAAACTCCGAAAGATACGATGATACTTTACTTACTCAGGTAGCATTAATCATCAGAAAATGTTCCCTATTGCAATTCATTTTTGTAACGTGCACCTAGTTTGAGTGTTCAAAGCAAAACAAAATCGATGTAAACTATAGAATAATAAACCACCAATTCCCATGTTATATTTTTTTTGTTTAATTCATGACGCAGATTCAAGTTTTCCAATTTTTAACTCGACCAAAAATCTACATCTTCACGACACGAAAAACTCGACGGAAACATGAGCCTTATTTGACAGAGCTTCACTCTCGTGGTGGAGCTCATGTCTGTGAAGTAAAATCAGCTTCACCCGGCCGTTCTTATCGCCCAACTTTGCGCCAAAAGTTTCCACTAAAGTTTGGGATTCATAATAGAGCCTCAAGCTCTTTTCTTATTAAGTGCTGACGGAACTTTTACCACTGTTCGCGGACACTTTTAAAGATGGGTCTTTTGCCATTTTAAATCGTAATATCTGGACTTGAACCACAGAATTTTTCACTTTACTGAATATGCGGTGACAAAGAATAATTTCTACTCGAGCTCTTAACATTTTTATTTTGAGTTTACAAACTGGTGATTTGCTCGGTAATGAATAGGCGGCTTCATGGGATTATAATGAATTGCCAGCACGCCCAGATAATAGATGATGCTGCCAAACAAGTTCTTAACATTCCCAACGGAAGTTTGAGAATCTGTTGCTGCCATGTAAATAATTATTTCTAACTTCTTACTTGGAGACCTAGTAAAAGCCTGGTGTGAAAATCGTCCTAATCTCATTTTCTTTTTTATGAGCTTGTAACTAATTAACAAAGTATCGTCAGAAATTCATCGTCTATACTCTATTCTAATTCAGTATAATACGTATAATTATATTCAATACAACTCAATGCAATTTTCGGTTTCAGGTGAGTGTCAGCGTCTGGTTGGTCTCACAGTGCAGTTCTCAACGGCAACGGTAATGTACGTTTTTATGGACAATTTTCCCTATATCTAGAAATTAGCTGGTTAAAGATAATAATAATAATAAATGGCTGTTTAAGTTATTTAAAGACTTATCGATCTCCGCATAAGACTGCTGGAACTCTGGTATAGCTTTGCTTGATAATTCTTTGATGATTTTCCCCTCGAGCGCACTTGAGTTCGCCGGTGTGTGTACAATACTTTTCTAAGAACTTTATGATTGAATAATTTGCCAAGTTATTCATCTTGACCTTTATATTTGTTTCTTCTAAAATATTGGCAGAGCGCGATAGATCACTGACTTACGAGTAGGTATTCAAACAACGTAAACTTTAAGGTACTACCCCTGTGTTACCGGTCTCGTGTGTATGAAGTACGGCTGGCCACTAGAGAATAATTGGACAAAGATATACAGTACTTGATTTACAAGACAAAATGCATTTTTCTCCACACACGCAGCTGCATGGATTCGAAATGTTTCCTGGTCGTTCCTTTCACTATTAACGATGGCGTTTATAGTTACTGAGAATGATGCACTCCCTTCCTTTCATGCGGATTACCTTGCTGGAGAACGGCTTTTCTTATGTATTGAAGCAACAGAAAACCACCGATGTTGCGAAAAAACGCAAAATGTTCTGGCGCTGCTGTATATAGTCATCATATGAAGAGAAGAACCCATAGGTGAATCAAAGATGGCCAACCTTCGGCTTTTACATGACAACTGGAAAAACATTATTGTTCGTAAATGTGGTAAGATATTTTCTTGTATAACATATAATCCCTAACAAATGTTCCCGACTATTCGCTAATTATTAGAAATTTTTCATTGATCTTCTTCTCTTTCGTGAATTCTAAGATTATTGACGCACTATTATTATTCTATTCATCTAAGATTATTGGCGCGCTATTATTATTCTATTCATCTAAGATTATTGACGCGCTATTATTATTCTATTCATCTAAGATTATTGACGCGCTATTATTATTCTATTCATCTAAGATTATAGATACCCATTGGATGTCGGGTGGCCAGCTGCCGATGACGCTTCCGATTGTTTAGTGCTGCTGTTGTTCCGGCAACAGGCGTATCCGATGTGATGGATGAAGCACCGGAATGCAAATTTAGGGCCTTATTCCTTGGACAGAATGAATTTACTACCTTAAAATTATACAAAAATTTATAAGGTTTTCGCATCAGCCCAAGTTACGCTTCTCTCATCCGATGCCTGCAGGTGTCATAAAGAACTTGGTATATGCTAATGGGAACAATTAGGAAATTTTCTTTCATATTCTGATGCTTAAATGTTTCTTTCGTTCATAAGTATCTTTAACTAATTCTGGAACTAAGGAGAAATACTCGCAATGTATTCAATTCGCAGTTTTAAATTTAAAATTCAGCAGGAAATTTGAACCACTTTTTCTCAGGAGTATCTCATCATCACACAATGTATTCAAATTTTTGCGACATTTCTTCTACAGTGACATTAGCCTGACATCTCTGCCACACCGTATCTCCTGTAGCTCCTGCCTCGCGCGTGCCCTCCAGTCTAGGTTTAATTTGTCTGACGCATGATGCATTCGTTGAGCTCGTCTTCTGGACCTGCATGCATACGAAATTTCTGTGAATTAGTATTCCCGTGACATGCGCCCGCCTCATCAATCAGCCTTTGGACCAGAAGGCCTCTCGAGAACATGTTTTCGTCCTCACATTTGAATATTGCAAGTCTCGATGAATTTAAAGGTCACAGCGTCTGGGTTCCTCAAGAGCGTCCTTTCTTACTATGGCTTCTACCTCCGCATGTTATCATGGAACTTTTAAATTACAGTGAGATGTTTTTTTGGATTTCTTGTGTATGATGACTTTATATTTCTCTCTGTCCGTAGTAGAATGAGGAAAAATCAACATACTGGACAAATTAATTTTACTTTTGTCTCTGTACTATTAATAATATTATGAATATCATAGAAAATTGTATGAAATTACTGAAGTATCTTGCACCCTGCATCAATCCTTGCTTAAAAAGTTATTGGGTATAAACTTCTTCTTGTTCATTTACTCCTGAGTATGAATCGTGATGGTTTTAAATTTAAAGCTGCCGACATTCTCCATGCGTAATCTTCATCTCGTTTGCCAGTCAAGTCCTTTAGTTTCCGGCCGTATTTTCCCCTCCTATATACTGCTCTCCCTCGCTGGGTTCTTAGCTGCCTTTTGACTCACCGACTCCGAGACACTAGTCCAAATTTGCTGCCTTGCCAACGCTTTATATCTGCAATGCAAATGAACAGACGGCATCTTGTTATTGCCAGCGAATTTTTCTTCCTCCTGAGTTACAGTAAAAAAAAACACCGCTACATTCCCTCACAGAAGAAATATAGCTCCCCGAAGCACGCGTATAGTTTTCTCATCATTATCTTTGACTCTATGTAAGCTGCAAGCAGTCATTATTTTCCCTAACTCTACAACAGGCGCTGATTTCTTCGACTTGCCGCTCTTTAGTGAGGCGCCAAACACTCCATGCGGACTTTGTTGCCCGAATAAGGGCCAAGCTTTAGCCTGTCCCATCTTTCTTTCTTTCCTGAGCTCTCGGGGTCTCCAGCAGTGGATTGTTCTTTTTTTTACCCTTTTTTACCGTGATTCACTCCTTAGCCTGACGCTGGAGCTGGAGCATTTTTAAAACGAACATTGAAATTTTGCCAACAAGTAGTTGATTTGGTTTCGCTTACTTATCTTAAACGTTGCTTTCATATCTATCTTCAGAATCATTCCGGGTATTACATGAAAATTTTAGTGCTTTCTATTATTGAAATTTAAAGACTCTATGGAAAATGTGTATGCACTACTCATATTTATTGTACCATCACAATACATTTATGCACCATCTCAATTACGATAGAACATCGCCACAAAGCCTGCTGTTGAATATATATGCAGTTGCCTCAACTCGGCGAGAAGCGTGCGCTGCATGCATGTTACCTGCTCATGCGTCGAGCTCAGCGGAAGCAGGAACCGGCGCTGCACGTTATTCCGAACTGTTTTTTCCACCGGGCTGGTGACTGTGCAGCAGGAAACTATTCTGTTACCGCCCCATCGATTCGCGTTCAACCTCCTGTTGAACGCGCGTCTGCTGCTCGCGCGCTCAACGTCCGTGATCAGCGGATGGGCCACGAACTGATCAAGCACTAGGAACACCGCTATTAATTCACTTATGCATCTGTGTTAAGCGCGATAGTAATATCACATAGTTATGTTAGATCAGTATTTATTACATTTCGAAGCAATCACTAAAGATTGCAATTTTACTAGTACGCAGCATGAATTTCCGCTTACGTTGTAAGAAATCTTAAGGTATCGTTAACACACCAGCTGCGGTGGTCCATTTGAGGACTGGGTGCTGTGGGGTTCATTTGAGGACTGGGTGCTGTGGGGTCCATTAGAGGACTGGGTGCTGTGGGGTCCATTAGAGGACTGGATGCTGTGGGGTCCATTAGAGGACTGGGTGCTGTGGGGTCCATTAGAGGACTGGGTGCTGTGGGGTCCATTAGAGGACTGGGTGCTGTGGGGTCCATTAGAGGACTGGGTGCTGTGGGGTCCATTAGAGGACTGGGTGCTGTGGGGTCCATTAGAGGACTGGGTGCTGTGAAGTCCATTAGAGGACTGGGTGCGATGAAGTCCATTAGAGGACTGGGTGCGGTGGGGTCCATTAGAAGACTGGGTGCGGTGGGGTCCATTAGAGGGCTGGGTGCGGTGGGGTCCATTAGAGGACTGGGTGTGGTGGGGTCCATTAGAGGACTGGATGCGATGGGGTCCATTAGAGGACTGGGTGCGGTGAAGTCCATTAGAGGACTGGCAGGTGGGTGGTGCGTGACGTCATCATACGCCATGATGAGTCACGCACGCTGCGTCGGTTACGCCGACGTGCCTTAATACAAATGCATCGATATAATCTATTGATTGCTAACGTGCGAGGTGTTGCTGCTCTGTTATCATGCTCGCTCCATCAACAGCGCTGGCGGCAGTTATTCGGTATTGTGTAATTTCGTAGTTCAACTTGTGTTGATTCAATTTCTTCTTCTACGGCCATGAAACCACGATGAAAGATAACCCGCAATAGTACGTATCGAAAATTCTCTGCGCAAAATTTCTTATGACAATTTTTTAGTTCTACCAGCAATAATAGGCTTTTGCTGAATATGTTAGGTGAGAGGAGAAAACGCATTGTATTTATTGAAAAATTATTGACAGGTAGAAATTTGTAGCATATCAAACCATTCCTTTATTTTTGCTTAAACATTCATTTTTGTAGTTAAATATCCTAACGTAAGAATAAAAATTGAAAAAAGACGTTTAAATATACGTTATATTCGATGTTTACCAATAAACAATTATTGTTATTTATGCTACTTCCCATTCAGTTATGAATAAAAATTTTTAACTGTATTTGTAATTGATAATATAATCCTTAATTCACTTCCCCTCCATCACATTGTAAGTATTTAGCTCGTCAATTGATATATTAATAGATACTATTGATGAGACTTGTTCTAAACGACTTTGATTATTCGTTGTATTCATTTAGAAGGTAATTTACTGAGGATCTGCTTCATTCTTCTACATATAAGATAATTTACTGAGGATCTGCTTCATTCTTCTACATATAAGATAATTTACTGAAGATCTACTTCATTCTTCTACATATAAGATAATTTACTGAGGATCTGCTTCATTCTTCTTCATATAAGATAATTTACTGAAGATCTACTTCATTCTTCTTCATATAAGATAATTTACTGAGGATCTGCTTCATTCTTCTTCATATAAGATAATTTACTGAAGATCTACTTCATTCTTCTTCATATAAGATAATTTACCGAAGATCTGCTTCATTCTTCTTCATATAAGATAATTTACTGAAGATCTGCTTCATTCTTCTTCATATAAGATAATTTACTGAAGATCTACTTCATTCTGTTACATATGAAATAATTTACTGAAGATCTACTTCATTCTTCTACATATAAGATAATTTACTGAAGATCTACTTCATTCTTCTTCATATAAGATAATTTACTGAAGATCTACTACTTCATTCTGTTACATTTGAGATTATTTACTGAATATCTACTTCATTCTGTTACATATGAAATAATTTACTGAAGATCTACTTCATTCTTCTACATATAAGATAATTTATTCAAGATCTGCTTCATTCTGTTACATATGAAATAATTTACTGAAGATCTACTTTATTCTGTTAAATTACCTGGGCGTCTTCATGAACAACCGCGATCCTGATTTGGGTGGCATGAAAAATGAAGCCTTTGAAAGATGATCATGCCTCCCTGGCAGCTGAGCCGCGGTCGCTATCGAACCCAAAATCAGGATCCTGAAGGCATGTCGGATAATTTTTTTCTGTGTATTTTTTCCACTCCGGCATCTTTGCTGAGCGTTGTTTGGCCCTGATCATTAGTAGACTTTTTTGTGGTTCTTCTGCCACTGAATACTGATCACCGCCGGTGTATGTTAGGGCGATAGTCCACCTGAGCTTATTCTTAACAGTTCTTAGCTTTGTTACTAAACTATTCAGCTATAATTTCCTATCATAAACTATTAAAAATATATTACTGATTAGTCAAGTATTTAAGATCGATTGGCTCGAGTCACTAAAACTTCATTTATTAACCGTATCTTCATATTATCCCCTCGATTGATGCAAATTCCTACCATAAATAAAAAAATTCTACGACTACGCAGAAATATCTCTCCAGGTAGTGAACCGAATATGTCGGCATAAACGGTGCTCGTAATATATGCGCTCCGAACGTCATATCTGCAAGCTCTTACTGTTGCAACTCACTCAAACGGAACTACTAACGTATATGTTCCAGGAGATTGATTATGGGCGTCGCCCATCTCTTGCTATTTCTAATTATGTGTCACGTTCCTTCTTCCCTAAAAATGCGTACATGGGAAAGGAGCAAAGGGTTGGGCCGCCGCCCTCGCGCGTGACTCAAGGAGCGAACGAAGGATGAGTGAAGCTTCGAAAATCTGGGCTATCGATCAGAATGTTGGTCGCGAGCTCGAACGGTAGTTGTTGGGTCGTTATGTTCACTTGTTAGTGTCATAATAATGGTTCTTAAATTCGAAATTACTCATGCCTTTGAAATTCTTATTGTGATTTGTGTGATTTTTTTAGCAATTTATCAAATACAATATCACTCAATTTTTTACTCCTCGATTTTTTGCCCGTGAACGTCGACTATTATTTCCTTCCTGACCTCAAAATTCGTCCCAATTTCTCGACAGCGACCAAGTCCTTCACTTGTGGTAACATTGTAATGAACCAACTTTATTTATTTGTTCATTGCAATGATGCTGGCGCAATGGGAATCAACTTCTCGTCGGACCTCTTTGCCCAGCTTAATTATAATTAACTATGATTCCAAATGCTGAACTACTTCATGAATTATCTTCAGTGAATCATGCATCTTCGATGGCTTTATAATCGTTTCTTTGTGAATGTTTTGATCAACGATGTGGAAGAATGTCAATTCCAACATTTTGCGAATTAACTTCAATAACATTTTGTGAAATTAATTAACTGAGTAATACTGTTTATAAAAAATTACTTTCTTAATTTTTTCTATTAAAAATGCTGAGATGCTGCTTAAAGTTCATATATTCCGTGCCGTTTTCCATTCTAGTGGAAAAATAATGTTTGAAACAACTAAATCTGTTTAAACTTTACCAGTTCAGTTTGTTAGTTTATAGTCTCCCCTGATATCATGGATGCCATTGTAGTGTTTTTTTGCTATCCTATAGAGCAGATAATCTCGAAGTTGTCTGTGAGATAAATATTACAGCGGTGCATTCCTTCTCCATAAATATGTCTTGTTCAGAAGTCAGCTTAAAGATGGGAAAAATTTAGCTGAGAAAGGAAATGAAACTAAAAGAAGATGAAAAATTTCGTAACCTTGTGATGGACATTACTAAAATTATTGTAAAGTTATTACCACATGTAGCAACTTGTTTCATTTCACTTGTTGTTTGAATTGGGTTGCCCTACATTTACAAACATCAAAGGCTTCGGGGTGAAAAATACTGAACATGTTTTACGCAATATTGAACAATATTACGACTGTTGAATCTTTTGGAATTAATTTTCATAATTTTCTTTTGTAACGGTCGCAAGATTATAGTCATTGAATAAGCGAAAAAATTAATAGATGGAATAACTCTAACAGTGAAGCTGTAATACCGTATACCGGCACAACATGCTGGCATGAACGATAAGCGTTCGAGCCGCCAAACTACGGAACGAATGCCACTCCATCCTCACTTAATGGTTCCGCATCGAGACTTCTCCTCTTGAATGATTTGGTCTTGATAATATTTCCCATGCATTTTTCACACATTTCTGTTCATTTCCTTTCATTTTTTACACCTTTCAAAGAAAACTATGCTACCCTAAGACTCTCTAAACTGGGATGAAATCAGACAGAAAAAAAAATTTAATTGTTAAATGATGGAAATATGAATTGAATCTTAATCAGAAAGAATCGCTTCCGTTAAAACTCCAGGCGAGAAATTGTGTGGTTAATCTTAGAAAAAAGTTTAAACAAGTTTTTTCTTGAATTTTGAACAGTTATGATTTGACAATTACGATGATTGGTTGCCCGACTCGCTGGCTGAAAAATGTATGGGGCTAGTGGAGTTGAAATAATTATTGTTCAAGGCCATCGTTCGTTTTCTTCTTCTTGATGAAACTTATCCCTGCTGCTTGTAAGTAAGTATTTTTTCGCCATTTTTTGCAAACTTATGACGCAACATGCAATTATGTTTCTTAAGTTCAGGCTTGAGCGTGCACGAGCAGTAGCTGATGCAGAGCGTGAGTTGGCTAGATGGACCGCTCTAATGATGCTGCACGACAGAGCTCAATGAGTGAGTGGTTTTTGACTTGTTACTTGTTATTATTGTTTATAATAACAATATATATTGTTATTATATTGCTGCTTATATTATATTGTTATAATATTGTTACTTATATGATTAATTAATGCATTTTGACTCATACTGTGACTTTTATGGTCAGGTTTTTCAAGGAATGTAGTCAACTCTGCGTCAGATTATTACTGGGTTTCTGATAACAGTTACATTCTTTTAACAAAGTTCGATCATAAAGTCTCATATCGATTCTGTTAAACGATCTTGGTAATGGTTGCATTTGCAATACATGTTTTCAAAGTTTGCTTCTCTGATACCATAATTATTTCAGTAAGATCGCAGAAACGCTAGTTCATCTTTCCAAACTTCTTCTATTTTCTTATGAAGGCGCTATATCTCATTTCTTAATACAATATTAATGGAATTTGAAGCAGCATGCGAAATTATACCCGGTTAAACTGCAAGATAACTTTTGAAAATGTAAACTTTAATTAATGTTGCATTCGTACGCAGTTAGAGGGCAATTTTCCACTCAATTTGCGTGGATTTTTCGTTTACTTTTACCGAGAGTCCAATCTCTTTCTTGTTCATACTGCTTACCAGCTATTTTGAAGTATGATTATCCCCTTGTATTCGGGCCGATATAATGTTTTCGCTTTTAAATTGTAATGAAAAATCATATCTTTTTTCTCAAAAGCACCATCTACTCTATTAATGCATGATTATATTTTTCATTTGCCTAATAAATTCATTTTAAGATTGAGTCCATGATTTACATGATAGGCTACAGGCCATGAATAATTTTATAGCTTTATCCTATCTAATTTAAATGACCGATCGGTTATGGCTGAACTCCGTGGGCTACCGGCAGGACTAACGAGACCAATTACGAAACCCGCGGTCTAAGGTCCACCACATTCATAAACTGGCTAGCATTTCC